CCCATGTCCGCAGCAGTGCTGATCCCTCACACGGCGGTAAAGCACAGCTCAAGAGGACGGGATCCCACGTGGCAACTGAGGTTCCAACCCCTGTCTCGGTCAGCGTGAAACCTGCCAGCCACATGCTCAAATGTCCAGGATCCGGGGGGCTAGAGACGGGAGGGAGGGGACCATGGCGTGTCCGGGCCCTGTGCAAGGTGCTCTCCTCCCGCTCCCAGTCTCCCCTGTGCACACGCATGCTCTGCTGAATAAAGGAAGAGAGGAGACGACCCTGTCTACCTGCACACGGTGGCTGAGCGAGAGTCAGTGCTGCTCAGCTTCAAACAGGAAGGAATTCCGACATGTGCCACAGCGTGGACAAGCCTAGGACATGGTGCTGAGTAAAAGAAGCCAGCCATAGCACCAGCAGATGGTGTAATGGTTGCATTGCTGGCCTCTCACAGACTCAACCATGGTTCAAGCCCCAGATTCGGCAGCCTAAAACTCATGCCAGGAACGTGTGTTTGCATGCCCCAAATCCCAAGAGTGGAATGGAGGGGAAAGGATTGTGGTGTGGCCATTCCCTCAGGGGTGATTTCTCATTCTGTTTCTCTGTCTCTCTGGCAAGCGTACATGCCCTGGAGCAAAAGACTCTGAAAAAAAAGAAAGAAGCCAGCCACAACACGGCAAAACACACAAAGGACACAGGAAGCTAGATGGGACGCCACTCAGTCCCCGGGCCAACCCTGCACAGTGGGGACAGCTCCCGCCCCCGTAATCGGAGCTACTCGGGAGGCAGGGGTGGGGCCGTCGGTCATGATGTTTCTCTCCTCATCTCTCATAAAGGAAAAAGAAGACAAATATTGTAGGAGCCCATTCCTCTGGGGTCCCCAGAGTATTCAGATCCACAGAGACAGACAGAATTGGGGGTGCCAGGGAGGCACATGTGATGGGACAGGGCTTGGAGTGGAGGGGTGGGTTCTGGAGGTGCTGGCATGATGGCTGCAGGGTGGCACCATTGGCTCAGTGCCAATGAGCCTGCACCTGACATAGTTAGGGTGGCCAGTTTTATGATCTATCATCTATCTATCATCTATCTATCTATCATCTATCTATCTATCATCTATCTATCTATCACCTATCTATCTATCATCTATCATCTATCTATCTATCTATC